TTCTTTTTTATTATTTTCTTTTTTATTATTTTCTTTTTTTTATTATTTTCTTTTTTTTATTAATTTCTTTTAACCCAGAGTGACACTTTTCTGAAAGTAGCAATTAATTAAGTTAGGACCAATGTGAGGCAGTACAACACAGAAAGACCAGAGGATGTCCAGCTTTCCAGAGCATCCTACATGGGCCTGTTGCGGTTCTCTTGACACATGCTGCTGTATGGAAGGCTACACGTCCGTCCTTTTTATAGGACTCTTTTATGTAGAGTCTGCAGATACACGTTTTCTGCAGCATTGAGGACACCTCTTTAAAATATTCCTCTGAAAATACTACTAAAATATTACTAAAAGTCAATCCAAAGTAGCATTAAAAAGCCATGTAGGAATCTTTGTGTTATCCGAGTCACTTCAAATCAAATATGCAAAATTCGGCAGTAGAAACATCGCCCATTAAACTGTCTTTTACACTTTTTCTTCTGGTGATGTACAGAAGCTAATTTGGCTTGTTGTGTGCAGTACTGACAAATATAAAAATACAAAAAAATCAGATTTGTGCTTTTTTGTTTAATCACTTCTTTTGTCTCATTTTGGATACTTTTTATTTTAGTGCTAAACAAGTCTCTGAAAGAGGAGCTCTTTAGATATCTCATGCAGACAGTTGTTGGCGTTTTATTTTTCATAAATTTGCTGGTTCCTTGTGTTGTCTTTGGGTCTGGTATAAGTAGACATGACCACTTAAGTGAGCAAATAAAAAAATACATCTAAAGTTAAATTATTTTGGAGTGTGATCATGAATTCATAGCTTTCAGTATGAGAGGAGTTCATATGGTTATGTTTACTTCTTATTCATCATCAAGTTACAGTGTATTTCAGATAACTGAATATCTGAGAGGTTTGATTTATATAAATGAAAAAGCTTTTTTGCCTTTTTTTTTTTCCCTCTTGAAATTGCTCTCTCACCGTGAACACTTTACGTCATTTAACCAGGCGATGGGTGCTGCAACAATTAATTCAGGAAAACTCCTTGCCCAGTCTTGTGACTAAAGGAAACTTGGGAGCAGCACCTGTGGAGAGAATTCATCGACTAGTGCAGGAGGAAATGAATGTCTGCTCCGAAGCTGCTGGGAGATATCCAAGCAACTACAACGCCTGGTCCCATCGCATCTGGGTTTTACAGCATTTGGGAAAGCTGACTGTCAAGGTATAATGCTAGTGAATAAAGTCTTAAATTTCCTTGTCTAAAAAAAATAAAATGCAGGTTTGGCAAGCAGATCCTATGACATGGATGGAGAGTATTGTATTAAGTTAGAACAGGTAGCGAAGAATGTTTAGAAATAAAAAAAGGCAAATACTGCAATAAGTCAGGTGAATGAATCAGATTATTCCAAGATCAAAAGTGGCTATAATGTGTGTGGTGTCAGTTTCAGCTACATAAAACTGGCCTGACTTTTCTGATGTTGCCTTTGTCCCTTGTGTTTTTTTAATAGACTCTTAAATATTAATGTTCAGAAATTTAAAATTCTGCTGTGAAGAGAGAAGCTGATCGTGTAATTTAAAGTGCAGAACTGGACATGGGGAGTTTAGGCCCCTTAAGAATCCCATGTGTGGGCAGTTATTTAATAGTGCCTTTCAGTCTGGTGATCTGTAAAAGGAAGACAATTCTGGTTTCCTCTTGTCAAGACCTAAACAAATGCATTGAGTATCTTGGGTAGAAGGTGCTGTTTGTATAATTTGTATTTGCTTCTAACACCTTTGGAAACAGCCACACCACAAAAGAGGCTTGCACATTTCCATGGTTTTCTTTGCGCGAGGCTGTGCCTCTTGTGCTGCAGGACTAAAAAAAGATACTTTTGCCTGTGAAAGTTGCTTTGCAACAGACATTTCTGTTAAACTTACTGGAAAGGTTATATTCAGAATCTTTAGAAGTAAATATTAAAGGTACCTTTGATATCTTTGGAGAGTTTGAATTCTAGAGGAGGAGCAATGTGAGGAAAGAGAGTGTAAAGCCTTTGAAGAAATACAACCATTAGTTCTAATAGAGAATCTTTGCCCAGTAGCCACTCACCTGTCTTCTTAGAAGTAAATTTTGAAGGTTTAAAAACATTCAGAATTAAGAGAAATTCTGTAGGTTTTAGCATTGTTAGAAATATAGCCGCAGTCACCAATGTAAGTATTTACCACATTTATTATGAAATAATAACTAGGAGTTCGCCAATTACCAAGCCAAGAAACTTAGTTAGGGACACACGGTTATGTATTTCATAGGTTCTAGAATTGGGAACATGATGTTAGTGGCTGAGATACTTTTCCCGGAAAATAAAAGTGTAAATGTCCATAATGTAGCAGGCAAAAATTAAAATACTTCTACATAATATCTTTGTAGTTTGGTGTACCCTCTACCTCTGCCTCCTCTAAATAGTCTTTATTTCTAACCATTCTGAGATTCTTAAACTGCTGCTTAATCCACATCATAAGTGGATTGTTTGTTGTTGTGGGTTTTTTTCCCTGCATACTTTGGGGAGGTTTCTGAGACACTTACCTTTTCAGAATCTGGAAGAAATATAGTTTCTTTTATGCAGGACTGCGAAGATACTTGTCAGCACCAAGTGGAAAACTCGATGATTCTCTCATTTTTGTGCATGTTCTCAAACCATTACCACAGTGGCTGGAATCCCCAGAGCAGAGGTTACCTCAACAGGGGTGGTAAAATCCTCCTTTATACTGGTTGATAATTGTTGCTGCTTTTTGTTCCAGGTTCTCCTCGATGAACTTTCGTCCACCAAATATTGGGTATCCATGCATGTCTCAGACCATAGTGGATTTCATTACCGTCAGTTCTTACTGAAGTCCTTAATAGGCAGAACTGCAACTGACAATAATGTACTGGTACAAAATCAAATGGTAAATGAGCAAAACCCTAGCCTTGAAAAGGAGGAGGAGAGTGCAGGGGCAGAAGCTGCCTTTGCAGAGGAGCAGAGCGTGGATCTCCCCTGCCGTTTAGAGGAAGAGTTGGAGCTCTGCACTGAACTGATTGATAGTTACCCAGGGCATGAAACCTTGTGGTGTCATAGGTAAGAAGATTTGGTCGAAAGAGTGTCCTTATTTGTAGATTGTTCTTTGCCTGATGTTTCCAGATAGAATGTTGTTCTGCTTTTAGAAGGTACCACTCAGTAAGAGATTTCTAAGCTACCATGTCTTAAGTCTTTGGAAAACATTCAAGAGCATAATCAGAGCTATTCAATGGAAAATTTGATTTGACTTAAGTGCCTTGTTGATATAAGCTCCACTTGTCCCTGCAGTTTGTGCAGAAGCACAAGATTATGTTAATCAGGGCAAAAGATGCACCAACGATAGGCAGAAGGTGGATCAGCTGTAGAAAACCTCTGCTTGCCATCTGGGGGTACATGCCTGACTAGGTAACAGCAGATTTGCCAAAGTGACACTTTTCTGTAGAGTGTGAGCAGTGACAACAGATTTTGTGTCTGGTTGGGGGTGGGGGGAATCTGGTGCAATGGCAAATGAAGTGAAGCAGTTCATCAGCAACAGCAGCAGGTTATTTTCAGTGCATGATTTTTTTTTTCTTTCCTTTTTTTCTTCCATTTCCTCTGAAGAAGACGCGTGTTCTACCTGCAGCACCACGTAAGCAACAGACTTCCTCTTCTTAGTGCAGCGGTATCATCTGTGGACGGCAGTGATGAAACTCTGAATAATTCCCACCACAGTCCTACAACAAGTCACATGGCACAAGCTATGGATGTTGATGGTTTGAATGAATCCAGCAGCAAACAAGGCTATACCCAAGAAACAAAACGCCTCAAGCGTGCTCCTTTGCAGGACTCTCTTGGTCCAGAAATGGAATACCGCTTCATTGATAAAGTGTTAGCAACCTGTAGGGATGTGGACCAAGCCAGGTTTGCTACTGCTTATAGGAAATGGTTAGTTACTTTTCTAGGTCAGTGAGGAAGAGTTTAAAGCCTTCAGGGTTCTTCTTTTAGTGCAATATTCTCTTTTCAGTCACAAATGCATGTCTTGGTTGAAAGTGTTAGCTAACCATGTGTTTCTCACTCTTCTGATTGTCAGTCCTAAAGTTCATATTCAGAGTAAAAAAACGTTACTTTATTTACTAAAGAACCTGTTTTTATTAAACAAATGCAGTTTGTTCTTTAATCTTTTCAAGAAAGCTTCCTATCATGCCATTTTCTTATTTTATAACTTCTGCATTAAGGTGGACTCTGTATCATTTGGCTTGAAAAAAAAAAGTAAGAAAAAAAAAAGTCTGACATGGTTTTGAAACATCGTCTGGAAAAAGGAGGATCTGTCAGTAGCAGCTGAACCTGTTTGCAGGTTGTTCCTCTTTACTGTAGTAGAATCTTGCTGATACCTTATTGGATTCAGACTATATTTGGTGAGTGCTATTACTTTTTGTATTGGCAAACTTTGGTAGAACACCAGACTGCAGTGTTTCTTTCTCAAAGCTCCAGTAACAGTAATGGAGGTTGCCATTTATTATTGTAACTTGCTTTTTGTTTGTTTATTAATTGTCCAGTGAGTTTGATAGGAAAGTCTATGATGTTGAAATCTTGAAAAACAGATACAGGAAAATGTGACAGAAAGTATTTCAAACACATTCACAGTTCGAGCTGTATTTGGAAATACTTTTCTTAGAACAGACTACCTTCATTTCCTACTTGGTATTTATTTATTTATTTAATCTCAACAATACAGAATTAATGACATTTGATACACATTTATGAATGTATTACATACACTACAGAATCTCAGCCTGCTAAGTCACACATTGGTAATTTGTACTTAACCAAGACCATGCAAGTCCAGTAGGTGATGGACTAAAAAGTAATTCTGCTGACTGTTCATTGAGACTAAACAATTCAAAAAAACCAAACCAACAGCAGGAGGGATCTGTCTCTCCACTTCTGTGATTTTGCAGAGCTTCAGTCTTTGGATTTTCTTTCTTTGACTCTTCCTTAAAGAGTAGTTTTCCAACTATATATCTCTGTTTACATAACTGTAAATTTTAAGGGAATTTGAAACACATTTCTATTCCAGTGACATTAAATATGAAAAGTTTATTTTGTCATTTCTGTAGAACTTGTCTATATAAGGGACATTTTACACTAATGGAATTGTGCTGGTCCAAAGACCCACGGGAGAAGCATTGTGCAACTGTAGAAGTTTGTGCAATGGCAACATTGCCTCTATTCCAAACAGACTATTCACTGAGGGGATTAAATTTTCAAGCTATAGTCTTCACCAAACTTGCTGTATATTTCTCCTGCCCAAAGTGCCTCCTCACTGTGATAAGTTTCAAGCTGCTGTTTCTGTTGGGCACAGAGCAACAATGGGGGAGAGAAAAAAACAGGTAGCCTGCTCAAAAAATGGTTTTTGGAAAGAAAAAAGGCACTTGAAATGTGGAATTCCAGCAATTCTAAATAACGTATGGGGATTACTTTTGCATTTCAAAATGAAAATAGGCCAAGTCTGGCCTTAGAATATATTCATAACTAATTTCAGGCACAGAGTAGCTTACAAAAACATTTCTAAGTATGCACTTTTCTGTTTACAGTACCTGGATAAGACTGACCTAGGCTTCAGCATCTCCATGGCAAAGCTTTATCTCAGTGGACTTCCACAGCTGCCTCTATATAGCTAAGGACATGTTACATGGCCATTTGTTTTGAGGTGCTCTGGGATGCATAGCTTTTTGTTTCAGTTGTAGAAGAATGTAATCGATATGTGAAGGAGGTGTGGGAATGGCTTGAGAGGATAATTTTGTCCTAAGATACTTCCTCTGTGACCACTGACAAATGTGTAGGTTTCAGGAAGAAAACGCGTTCTGAACTTAAGAATTTAACTTGAGCAAGAACTTTTAGCCATCCCAGAGTACCTGATGCTTTTTAACTATGAAAGATACATCAAAGCATGTGTGGTAGCCAGGGTCAGCTCAATTGACAGTATCCCATTACTGCCAATATGAACTAGGAAAGTCATCTGGCAGTGTGCTTAGGATCATGTTCTTGGTCCTAGATTATTTAGGCAGCTAGTAGCGTAACTGTGTGTTCTATTCACCTTGGCAAAAATTACCTGTTCGTAAGAAAAATCTTAGTAGCAGGAGCAGACTGGAAAGTGGGAGCATGATAAAAAGTACTTCTTAAGCTGTGGAAGGGAAGAGATGCTCTCTTCTTGCACTGGAATGACTGATGGTTTCAGAGGAAAAAAATTTACATTAGAATCTGACTTGAAACCCATTACGTATTTCTTTCCACCTATTGAACTAGTGTGCTATTGAAATTTGACAATTTTTCCACCATAAACATTTAAGATCAAACAGCTGCCCCTGTATTCATGTGTGCAGTTGCTATTCATGTCAGCAGAAGTTATGCATGCTTGTAGGAAGACAACGTTTGGTTCTGTGCAACTCAACAGAGTTTCATTTTATTTTGAGACTTGGAAAATGTTCTTAGACCTCTGATTAGAGATGATAACTGATATTTTTATTACTTTTGCAAAACACTAATGGCGGGTTTTTGAAGCCTACACCTGATGGAAATAGGCTTCACCCTATTTATTTATTTTTAATCCAGTGAAAATAGTTACATTTAGAAATTTTTGCAGACACACTCTGCCACACATAAAGCTAAACTGTAAAAGTGAAACAAGTCATACCTTCCCCTTTGAGAGGAAAGCAAACAGTAAGCTGTTGAAATTGAGCTGTAATTTCTTTATGGCAATAATATAAATCATGTGAAAGAAGAAAATATATAACTAAATTGCTTCAAGCTGTCAATGTCCTGGAGCTTCTTAGATTAAGTGATTGAAGACATACTTCCAACAAATTGCGTTGAGCTCACAACTGTGTGATGTTATGGAACTAGATCTTTGGAACATACCTGTCTAACTGTGCAGTGTTACTGCAGAGTCCCATTTGGGCACCAGTTGAAAAAAAGAAAAGTAGCTTCAGGTCATTGGTAGTTAATATGCATAAACATTACTGAGTACAGCTACTTTAAGTAATGTATTTTAGTTGTTTTGCGTTTGAGGTCAGAGAATTATAATGTAGTCAATGTGCATTCTTGCAGAGAAAATGTCCAACAGAAGCTGCAGAATACAAGGCTCTTACTCCCTGAAGTTCTTTCAAATTTAGAATCAAGCTTTGTACATCTGTAGAAGTCTTAATATAAAATTCAGCATCTTTACTGATTTTATCTTCTGCTGTAGTATGTGTCATTTGAATTGATGCTAATTGTCGTTTTCATTGGATTAGTCTTTGTAGAAATTTCTTTGTGCTAGGAGCAAAGGGTTGTGGGGAACAAATGTAATTTGAAACTACAGAAATTAGAAGGGATTGCAGTTTTAAGGGACTGAATTCTGTTGCTAAATACATTAACTGTTATTTAATTGGCATTTGGTTTATCTTGTGTGTTACAGTCACTGGAGCAACACATGCAGCACTGAAGATAGCTACAATAACAAATTTTTATAAAATTGTTATTGGAATGCATTGCGATGGCTGCTCTGATTAATAGTTGTTAATCTCCTCATGCCTGCATATTAGTGTTTTCTTAACTTATGTATTCTTTACACAATCAAATCCTTGTGTCATTTTAATAGGGGGAAAATTTGTTAGTTTATACTGTTTGATTAATTACCTTATATAGAACTTAAGACAAAGTGGTGATATAGTGAGAAAGCTTAGGTTTTGTCTTACAGTCAAAATTTCTAGCATTTCCAGTTTTGTGATAGTGCTGCTTAATTAGAATATGTAGCTACTCTTCATGGACGGGGGTGAGCTTTTTCGTAAGTAGGTAATTAATGAATTTTAAAAACAGTACTGTATAAAATTGATGAGCAGAAACGAAGGGGTTTGGAAAGGCTTGTCTTCATAGCCAGACTCAACAAGCATACTTTTTCAGAATAAAATACAATATGATGAGCAAAATGTGACTACTAGAGAATAATTTAAGTGACGAGTCTACAGAGACTTGATGATTGAATTTTTGGACAAGGTTTTTTGCTTAGTTTTGTCCTGCTTTCTGTGAGGGAAGAATCTTCCTTAGTTTCTTTAATTTAGTGGGAAGTGAACTGTTGCACTTACAGTGCGGGTAAAAAAAACAACCCCGCAACTCCGAAGTTGTATCTTCTAGACTAATTTTGGAAAAAAGCACAGTGAAGTGAAATGTAGATGTGACTTTTAAATGAATGTTTGTCCTGTACTCACTTGGTGATGAGAGGTCTTTACAATTAGATCTTGCTATTTTGCTAATGTCAGATATAAAGAAAAGAGGGTAACTCACCTATTTGCAAATGCAGTTAACATTCAAGTTAGTTTCAAAGGAAGTTCAGTGTCCCTGTCTTAAGGTAATTTGCAGTCTTTTTTCCCCATTTGCTCAGATGTGTGTTTCCTTCCTGACCCCTTCTCTGTTCTTCCAGCCAGCAAAGAATGTAGCAAAGCATTGGTGAGGTGGCCTCATTTCATGTTCAGAAAACCGACTACCTCCCAAAAAGTGCTCTGATTGATGTCCTTAAGCGGAGTTCATCAGGCTCAGGTTTTTTCAGAACCTCATGCTAGGCGTACATCCTCTTTCAGAGGTGAGAGGAAAAGCTTTGTCTATAAAGCTCTCTAGTTTCCCCACAGTTTAAAGGAGAAAATACAAAGGTCATGTAAGTAAAAATGGGGAAAACTAGAATTAGCATAAACTTCCGTTAGTCTTTTCCTCTGAAGAAGCAATGTGTTGCTGAAAAATGGAGGAAATGCGTGCTTCCAAGAAATTCCTTGTAGTAAATTTATGCTTTTGAATTACAGACATGACACTTTCTAGTGGCTTTTACTTCTCAGGGCATAGTCTATTGTAGTGAATTAGGGTACATTTTAACAGTTTATAATTATTGACTTAAGAAAAAAAGAAACAAACAAAAAAAAACAACAAAAAACCCCTACACCAACCCACACCATAAATGCTCAACATGTAATAACTGGCTTTTAATTTTTTTTGCCTAGCATAGTGTTCCGTATCTACCCACAAGCTAATACCATACCTAATGATTTACCCTACGCTTTAGCATCTCATC